TAAAAAAGCTGCCTAAAGTGGGTTTGTCCCAAGCAAATTTTAGAATTCCTAGATGTCCTTAGACATGCACTCTTTGTCTATATAACCCTACCTTTGAATTATGAATAAAAAAGTGGTTGAATCATTTGATACTAAAATTTGATTATATTTTATACCTCATTCACCCATAGAAAACTCTTCCCGCCATTTGCAACATATTGATGTTGTGGCTAAACTTTCTTCTTAAAACCTAATTTCATCTTGATATTTGGAATCTCTTAGCACATCATACTATGGGTAGAAATACGTAGTATTTGATGCTCTGTAGAAAAAAATACAACTTCGTTCAAATAAATTGCACACATGAGTTCATATGTTGAAGTGACCAAAAAACTCAAAAATAATAAAGTTACACTCACGTCAAATTTGCTACAAACTTGATTTGAATTCTGAAGAGGAAAAGGAACTGTAATTATTACGATAATATTATCTTTGAAAGGATGGAATTGCAATTATATTGTCAACCGAAATCCTCAAATATATTAGAGTTGTAAGATCTAACCGCCACATCTTTTTATTAATCGTTGCTTTACTGCCACATCTTTTTTTTAGAAACTATATTTTGGAAACAAATATAATGACACTTTTTCGGCATGGGGTTTGCACGTATGCTTAGGGGCGCGGGGATAGTTATAAGCCTTGGTTTCCATTTTTATATTGAAAGAATGACCTCAATAATACTAATAGGAGACCTAAAGACAAAAATAGATAGCTTTCCCGTTTTTCCATGAATAGGACCATTTCTAGTGTGAGTTTACAGAATTAGCCTTAGCATCTATCATTACGGATGTTCTCTTTCATCTTTTGTACCTATGGCCATAGATAGATCTCCCCATTTTCGTACATCTTCATACCCGCAACCTTATCCATGGTTCTCCCGCAATCTTCTCCGTTTCACTTGCAGCTGATGCCCGTCGTCTTCATCGCGCACCGCTTCGTCGACTTCGTCCTGCGCCGCTACCCAGCCACTTCCTCTTTCTTCTCTCTTCTGTCAAGACCCCATGGATGGCGACGATTCCCGCAACTGAGAGCGAATGGATAGAATCCAAGTGCGGTATTGTACGGATGAGGATGACTCTGGCTAAGCTATTGTTTCCCTGCGGCGGCTCGGTTGGAGACTGCTGATGCTAGATCTGATCCGGCGGCTCGGATTTGTTGGTTAGAATCACGCGGCGGCGCACTAGGGATATGTGAATCGGGGCTGGGATGGGCTTGTTGGACTTGGATCTGGAGAGGGGGCATGGGTTAAGGTGCGGGCTGGGGAACAGGGGGTTGGGGCAGGAGGGTTGGGTTTGTGGTGCGGCGGCGCAACGATGGTGGCACAGTGGCCATGGCGGCGGCGTGGTGTCTGCGGCACTGTTATTGTACGACACTGTTACTGTAGATTTTTATGAAAAACTGCCGTTGTGCGGTCAGTTTGTAACTGTAAATGTAATTATTGGGTCCAAAAATTGTAATTAATTGGGTCGAGTAACTGTAACTAGTCAAATTGAGTAATTAGAATTAATCGGGTTGAGTAATTGTAATTTGTTTTGTTAGGTAATTGTTATTGATCGAATTAACTAACTATAACTCAACGGGTAACTGGTCGGGTCAGGTAATTATAACTGATCGGGCAACTAATCGGGTCAGGTAAGAAGCGGGTAGCAACTGGGATAATGGTCACTGAAATGGTAGTAACTGAGACGGTGGTCACTAGAGCGATAGTAACTGAGACGGTGGTCATCTGTAACTGGTCGGGTCGGGTAACTGTAACTGGTCGGGTTGGGTACCTTTAACTAGTAGAGTCGAGTAACTTCAACTGATCGTTCGGGTAACTGTAACTGGTGACGGTAATTGTAATTGATCGGACATAAAAACCGATTTTAAGTAACCATGAATTGTCAACTAATAAATTTACTGGAGCGGTACTAATTGTGATGTCATCAATTGAGTGGTGAATTTTGGATTTTTGGTCACTGGTGAATTTTGGATTTTTGGTCACTAATGATTTTTTGTCACTGATGAATTTTGGTCACTGGTGAATTTTGGATTTTTGGTCCCTAATGATTTTTGGTCACTGGATGAATTTTGTAACTATGTCATTGGTAACTGTAACATTGGTCACTGCACATTTGGTCACTGTGACGGGTTACTGTAGCAGACCAGTGGGTTTGGGCTTAGTAAGGGTGTAATAGTCCCTTAAGTATTATTTAGTCTTATTTTTGGAACTTAAAAGAAAAGTCTCTTTTTTTGCCCAAATGCTTTTAATTAGTATTATTTGAGGACAAACCCCATATTAGTATAGATTATTTTTAATATTTAATGATTAAATTATTGTCATTTAAGATTGTTAACTGTTTTCTAAAATAGAGATGTGAATCTTTATATGAGACGTTCAAAAAGGGAATGTTGAAACCTTTCAATGGGACAGGGAGAGTACTAAATAAGTATCCGCTGGATGTAAATAATTATTGTGATACTTGAAAAATACATTAATGTCATTTCTAAATAATCAGAATTTCAAAATTTGGTAGTAAAATATCAAAATTTCAAAATACGCAACCTCTTACTTCTATTTCTGAAACCTTTATTTACTAACTATATTATATTGCTTGTTAAGCAATATGAATCCATTTCCGCAAAAAGAACAAACATGAATCTATCTATCAAAAAATATCTCAATGATAAACTACCCTTTTTAAGATCGTTTATTGAAAAATAAAAATACATTAACTTTTATTTTGAAGAAAAATATATTAACACTTAGAGGATCATCCCCACATTGCGTGTTCATAATCATGACATCAGACTTTGGCATCCAATTCAAACCATGGTCTAACAATCTCCCCAAACCTTTTCAGCTTGGTCGCTCATTTTACTTTTGTATAACAAATCGAGATCATAATACTATCGTATAAGGGATGACATTAAATTTCAACATGTTCTTCCCAATTTCATTCAATTACTCGAGACAACAGAAGATAAATGTCGAGTTTATGTCATTCAAATTTAATAGATTTGTGAAACTGATAAATGAAGGTTGACCTTTTTATATAAAAGATAAGGGAAATAGACCTAAATAGGATTAAAAGTATAGCTGGGAACGTAAATAGGACAAAGAAGTTTTAAACTCCTAAATGAGACTTATTTTGAACGGCCGGACAAAAATACCCCTCCCTTTCCAACATATGCTCTGAAAATAGGACATTAGGACACCATCCATCCGCTCTTCAAATCTGATAATGACCGTATTTAACAAACGATTTCAAAGGAGTAGTTGCCGATGGCGGGTTCTGCGGTCCGCCGCTGATTCCACCAGTTTGTCGCCGGTGCGAGTCATCACCGCAGCAGTCTCCGGAGACCGGCCGGCGGGTAGTATCCTCCTCCAATCATCTGATCCTCCTTTTTCTGGCCCTTCTCCTCCTCCCCCTTTCTCCCTAATTGTTTGCGAGTTTCTTTTGTGCGGTATGCTATACATCTCCCTGCTCTTTGGTGAGCTTATCTTACTAGGCTTAGTGCTAGTAGCACTGTAGCAGTCAGAAGGGATTGACCGTATCAAAGAGATTCTCCAGAACAGTTACTAAGGGATTGGCCGCACTATACCAGTCTTGTTATTTTACGTTTCAATTTTTATTTTTATTTTATTTTGCAAATTCATTTAGTGTAAGTAATATTCTGGATCCATTCATTAATTTAGAAAATCATATCATTGTGACAATGAAATAATAAATGTTGTGACATTGTTTATTTTACATAACTAGTGTCATGGAATTACAATGACATATCTTGACACAATGGCAACGTTAGTGAAAATGTCATAAAAATGCAATGTCAATGTATAAAAATGTCACCAGGTTAAGAAAATATCACAATGCCATTGTCGTTGCTATAAAATATGACAATGTCAATAGCTATTATGACAATTTTAATTTTATAAAAAAAGTCACAACGTCGAAAAAATGTTGTAATGTCACGATGACAATGTCAATGACAACGTCATAAAAATGTAAATGACAATGTCATAAGAATATCAATGACAATGTCATAAGAATTTCAATCGTTATAAAAATGACATTGTTAAAACTAATGCCAATGACATAGAGAATGAATCTCAAGTTAGAAAAAATTTCACAATGTCAAACATTATCATTATAAGTATTTCCAAAACAAACAATCTTATAATATTTTCAACTAACATTATCAAATTTTAAAGGAAAAATTGATAGTAATAATCCCAACTATTGGCGGTCCGCTCATAATAATCCCAACTATTGATTATTACAGAATAATCCCAACTTTAGGGACCTTCCGCCAATAATGGTTCCTATGAATAAATTCTTGTAGTTTCTAAAGTGGGTGAGATGAGATATAACAAGTAATCCCTATAAATAATCTCAACTATTAATTTTTACGCTTAATTTCTATTTAGAATTCACTTTTTATAGAGGTAATATATGGTCATGGACCATTATTGGCGGATAGTCTATATAGTTCGGATTATACAAAAATAATCAATAGTTGGGATTATTTTCAGCGGACCGACAATAGTTGGGATTATTATTTTCAATTTTTCCAATTTTAAAAAAGCACAATGTCAATGACAAAAATATAAAAAATGATATTGCAATAAAGATACAAAGACAATGTCATTGTTAATATTATGACAATGTGAAATAATAACAATGTCAGGAATCAGACAATTTTGAAAAGAATGTCAACATTACAAAACTGTCAAAATGTTAAAATCATTTATCAACATTGTCATTACGAATTGTGTGACAATGTTGATATCATTGTAAATTTATGTGACAATACACATCAAAGTGTTACATTAACAATGACATTTGAATAAAATATTATCATTATCTAAAAATAATTAATAGAAAAATAATAGTAATAAATTTATAAAAAATAGTTAGAACTTAAAAACAAAACTAGATAAACAAAGAGAATACCATTCAAAAAAACAAATAGATTAAGAAACTGGAAGGTCTGAATTCGAAACCAACAAATTAGGAGAACAAAAAAAAGCATGTCTGCATATGAACTTAACGTACGGCAAAGCAGCGAAAAAATTTCCCAAACCCAGATCTACCCAAGCAGCGGAAGAAGAAGAGAAGAAGAAAAAGAAGAAGAGGAACAGAGGAAGAAGAGAAAGAAGAAAGAAGAAGATGAGAGGATAGAACGCAGCTGCCGCGGTGCCGCGGTGCAGCTGCCGCGGTGCCGCGGTGCAGCTGCCGCGGTGCCGCATCTTCCTTGTTGAACCGCCGCTGCCGTGTCGCCGTATTTTCACTGCAAGTCTGCAACGCCACTACAGCTCAACTCATCGGTTATTTTGTACGGTGCTAGGCCTTGAAGCTGCTCTGCTTAGCTATGGATGAAGGAGAGAGAGGGCTTAGCGAGCTTGTTGAGGAGCGATAAGGTTTGCTTGAGAGGAGGAAAAGGTAAAGTTAGAAAACAGGGGCAATTCTGGTAACACGGAAAAATTTGGTCCTATTTATGAGTTAAAAACTTAGAGGTCCTATACGCGTACATATGCTTATTTTTGGTCCTATTTGGAACCATTTCTCAAAAGATAAAGATCGAATATAATAGATTTATGAAATTGATAATAGTTTTATACCCCGTAGTAAATAATAATAAACTAATGGTCCTATTTTTAGTGAGTTTTTAGGGGGAAATTGCAATTTTAGTACCTCAAATAATATCGATGTTGAAATATAATTTATGTGTACCCAAGTTTGTTAATGTCATCCCTAATTGTCCAAATTGTTGTAATGTTGTCCTTTAAGGGATGAAATGTACGTACAAATGTACAATGTTACGTTGGCGAGGACTACATTTACACCAATTCGGGCAATTGAGCACTTACATTTACACACTTGGAAACGTGGTGGTACTGGTACTATTTCAAATATTACCCCGTACTATGTTCTTCTCCCTTGTAGCACCACCATTTTATTCTTGCGCCATTCTATTCCTGCTGACGGCTTCCTTGTAAAACCTTCCTAGCTCTTTGATTCACCCTCCGCTGGATCTCATCTCGCCAATCACTTATCATGTTTTATTGGTGGTCATCACTCTTAGACAATAATTTTTTTGAAAGTAGATGGAGTGAAAGATCAAAACTGGAACAAGAGACAGATGAGTCGTAAAGGTATTTATAGAAGAGAATGAGATATGGAGGGGTATCAAGTATAGTTTAATGTGGTGTTTGCCAAAATATGAAATGTAAAGATTGATTATTGGGTCATTCCATATAAGAAAGTGTGAAAATTTATATAGGACTTGTGGAGTAAACGACAATTCTAATCAAATCAAAATGGGACAAATTACGTACTTTTGATTAGGTTGCATGAATTTATTGTGTATAAGATATAACTATGCATGCCTCTTAAATATGATCACATGTGAGATTTATGTAAAAGAGAAATAAATAACATTAACCACATATTCATTTTTTTAGATGAAAATAATAATTTTATGAGGGACGACTAAATAAAGAAAGTTGATAAGTTTTGCGGGACAGAGGAAATAATATATGTAGAGATACAAATACATCACATTTTGAAAAAGTACAAAAGTAATGTAATTACCTTCAAAACAAGGTAGTTTCTATGGTACCCATAAGGTACCATACCTTTGTCCACATGGACCAATGAAAAGGTAGCAATTGAATTATTTAAATCTAAATTAAAATTGATAAAGTGATGTGGTTCAATCAAATGAATGCTAGGTACGGTACCCCTGTTTTTAGAAAGGTACCGGGGTTGTCACCTCAAAACAATACATCTCTTCCCTTTAAACTATCCAATCCACCTCCAATCATTGATCACTTGCATATATCCTTGATTCGGGTTATGTTTTGGCATGACAATTCAACTCAAAATAAACTAAAATCTTTTATATACAATGTTTTTTAGTCTTTTTTGAATAAAGGGTTAAAGTAACTGACTTAATAAAATGTTAGCCAACTAAGCATTTATTTAGCTACTATATATGATTCTGAAATGATCCATGCATACTTTGACGATGTAAACCTAAACTAAATCTCACATCTCCGACTAAATATGATTCTGAATTGAAATAAGACATATTGTTGGACTAAAATACCTTCATGTTGGGATATATTATCCCGGCCTATTACTGTTCAGGAGTCCAAGGCTTTACGTAGTACGGAGCCCGAGCAGCTAGGCCCATTTCGGCCCGTTGGCCCATTAGGGTGGAGAGCCCCTTCTCCCCTTCTCCTATAAATAGGGAGCTTAGCCTCCATGTAAAGGATCCGCTCCTTCTTTCTTCTTCTCCCTAGAATAGTTTTGTATAACTCCATTAATGGAGCTCAAATTGTAGAATGTAATGGTGAGGAGAGTCCTAATGAGAATTGAGAGGGCTTGGACATTAGCCTAAAAAGTCCCGTGGTTTTCTCCCTTTCGGGTTTCCACGTAAAAACTGAGTTGTTCATACACATTTATACATATATTTACTATATCGTGTTGGATTAAACTCAACACTGGCGCCGTCTGTGGGAATCAGTTCAAAAAGACTAAGCGTGTTCTTCAGCTTCGACAGAAACTTGAGACGAAGAACTGATTTTCAACTACACAAAGAAAAAATTATACGAGAGATCTGAGTTTTCAGCAAAAGAAGAAAAATTTCTAGACGGAAGAAGAATGGACAGATTTCAACAAGGAAATGAAGAAAGATTTCTGGTAAAATGATTCCCAGAAGTTCTAGGTCTGAGAAAAGAAAAGTTTTCTGGTGCAGAGCTCTACTGATTGGGGAAGACAACCGGATGTGGATCGGGCTGGGGGACCTGAGACCTGAGGCAACCGGGCTCAAGCTCCCCTGGCTAAATCGTCATTCATGGCGCGACTGATGAGGGTCGCAGACTCGCGCCTCGCTCCTGTTCGCTGCCAGCAACGCCGCCAGCGGGTAGATGGAGCTTGGTGAGTTCTTTCCGCCATCAATGGCTGTTCTGGAGCTCGGGATAATGATTCAAGCAACAACAACATCTGCCGACCCGAGGCAGTTCACGAGCGAGGCATTCCAGCTGGATTCCAAGAGCAGTTCATGGGGCTGGGAGACGTTGCGCGGTGGAACAACCAGAGATGTGGCCCTGTCCTATCCGCGGACTCAAATAGTCAAATGTGTGGAGACTAACTGGCTACGTAGTGGTTTTGTTGACCTGGACAATTCGTGCAAGAGGGAGGAAGGAAAGACACCGCTCGTAGTTATTAGCTGCTCGCCTGAAGCCGTTCCCACCAAACGTCCGCAGGAGTGGCCAACTAATAAAGGGTCAACTTATTTGAACAATTTTGACCAAGTCAAAATTAATAAGGATGCCCACAATTTCATCGCACTTGGAATTTCATTGCACCTGGATACCACATGCCGAACGTCTCCATTATCTTACAGCTAAGTACCACTTGCTCATCTTTTTTACCAATTGAAGTACTTGAATAATGGTTTAAACTACTAGTGTTGCTAGTTTTTATCACCATTATTTATTAGGGAATAAACTTTCCCGAAATTAAATAATGCAGAGCGAAGCTCTAGTGATAATTAGTTCAGCCAACTTTTTATCAAATATTTAATTGTTGGTGGGTTCGATTAGCTCACTCTTGATCGGCTTTGATTAGTGATCTAAGCGTCTCCAGAAGGGCGATGCCCCGACGACGCATTTTAACTTGAGGGTTGCGTATTAGTCCGCACGACACCGAGTGCTCGAGCAATGATCGTACCCTAGTACCATCTACGCCATTAGGCGCGAAGTGGCTATTGCCAGACGCGGCCTGTGGGGCCCCGAGGGCAGTGCGACCAACTTGGGTCTGAGTTTGAAAACTCACAGACCGATGAATATCTCCATGAGACGCTCGGCGGGCTGCTAATTGGCCCCGCCGCGAGCTGCTACGTCCATTAACCCCGCACGATGAGCCAGGCCGAGGGTCACGATGACCCATAGGCCGGTAATCGTGGGTGTTAGAAAGAAAACCATGCAGATGGTTATGTGTGTATACATATTGTCAGGTCGTGCGGCCCGTTACCATGCTTATTGCGCAGCTGAAGCCGCTCGACGCGCTCGAGTGAAATGATTAGAAGACGCTCGGCCCGAGTCTTGAAGACGTGCAGGGCCGGCTAAAGAGGAGACCATCACGGCTGAGGACCGTGAGGCGAGCATCTCCACCTAGAGGCCGAGGGCCTAGAGGAGACCACCACGGTTGAGAGCAGTGGGACGAGCATCTCCACCCCAGAGACCGATGGCCTAGGAAGAACACCTAGAGGCCGAGGTCTAGAGGCGAATGCCATGACAAAGAACCGTGAGACGATCATCCATCATTCAGGGGTCGAGGGCCTAGAGGAGACCATCACGGCCGAGGGCCGTGAGACCATCCTTACATCAGGTCGGCCTCCCATTGCCGACACTATGATATCACGACCGGCCTCTCGGCACGGCGTGTGTTCCATACTTGAAGACCGGCCTCGTCCCCGCTCCTCGCGGACGAGAGCCGTTGCTTGATTCTTCCCGGTCGGCCTCTCATTGCCGACACCATTATACCACGACCGGCCTCTCGGCTCGGCGTGCTTATCTTTTGAAGACCGGCCCCGTCCCCGCCCTCGCGGACGAGGACCGTTGCTTGATTTTCTCAGGTCGGCCTCTCATTGCCGACACCATTATACCACGACCGGCCTCTCGGCTCGGTGTGCTTATCTTTTGAAGACCGGCCTCGTCCCCGCTCCTCGCGGATGAGAGCCGTTGCTTGATTCTTCCCGGTCGGCCTCTCATTGCCGACACCATTATACCACGACCGGCCTCTCGGCTCGGCGTGCTTATCTTTTGAAGACCGGCCTCGTCCCCGCCCTCGCGGACGAGGACCGTTGCTTGATTTTCTCAGATCGGCCTCTCATTGCCGACACTGTCACATCATGTTCGGCCTCTCATCGCCGACATCATCATACCACGACCGGCCTCTCGGCTCGGCGTGCTTATCTTTTGAAGACCGGCCTCATCCCCGCCACCTCGCGGACGAGGACCGTTGTTTGATTCTCTCAGGTCGGCCTCTCGTTGCCGACACTATCATGTTATGTTCGGCCTCTCGGCACGACATATTTATCTTTTGAAGACCGGTTTCATCCTCGCGCTGCGTGGATGAGAGCCGTTGCTCGGATATATCGGTCTGATTGGACACTATTGTCATCTCCTTATCAGGACCGACCGCTCAGCGACATTATGATCATTGTATATCGGCTCCCAACGCCGACCTTCTTGAGTTAGCAATCGGGCTCACTCCTCCCCTCCAGGAGGGTGACCATCGCCTTCGCGTGACGACCAGCATTTCCATCGCCTCGTCATTCTATTCATTTTGATATCCCACCACCATTATGTGTGACATCACTTGTGGTCATTCTTAGAACCGACGAACGTATTTTCCTCCCTCAAAAAAAAAAAAAAAAGAGAAGAAAAGATGGGGAGAAGGGGAGAGAGAAGCTCCTATGAGAGAGGGAGTCTTGACGAGGTATGCCTGATCTTCCTTCGCCGCGTATGACGAACGTCTCCCGACGCGGAGGTTAGTAGAACGTGGGGGAGGCTAGACGTACCAAAGGGAACCTCGGCAGGATAGACTAGTTCCTCCCATTTCCCGTGGATCGATGAACACCTTCTGCCAAAGCAGAAGGCTAGTAGGGCCACGAGCATGGGACGACGAAGCAGGGAATCCCGACGTGGATAAACCAGTGACCTCCTTGCGATCGTTGGATGACCGAACGTCTTCTTCGAAGTAAGAAGATTAGTAGGACCACGACAGGGACGAACGAAGAATAGGGAATCCCGACGTGGATAAACCTGTTCCTCCTTGCGATCGTTGGATGACTGAACGTCTTCTTCGAAGTAAGAAGATTAGTAGGACCACGACAGGGACGAACGAAGAATAGGGAATCCCGACGTGGATAAACCTGTTTCTTCTCATAGTTGGGATGACGAACGTCTCCTGCGAAACCAGGAGACCAGTACTCACGAAACTTGGGAAGAACAAAGACCGAGTTCTTTACCGGAGTCTGTGCGTGCCGAGTGTACACTGCTTAGCGGTCCGTACATAGGACCACGGATACGGTAGACGAACGAAGACCAGCTCCATGGATCAGACACGATGAACCAGTTCTTTACCGGAGTCTGTGCGTGCCGAGTGTACACTGCTTAGCGGTCCGTACATAGGACCACGGATACGGTAGACGAACGAAGACCAGCTCCATGGATCAGACACGATGGACCAGTTCTTTACCGGAGTCTGTGCGTGCCGAGTGTACACTGCTTAGCGGTCCGTACATAGGACCACGGATACGGTAGACGAACGAAGACTAGCTCCTCAGGTCAGATAGGAGGGACATCACCCAGATTTATTTCAGGCTCGCCATTCCTTCCCGGATGGAGTCCTGGCAGACGATCGGCTTCTCACAGCCAATCAGGAGAGAGACTTGACACATCACCAGCACGGCCGAGGGCCGTGAGACGATTATCACTCACCGACAGGCCGAGGGCCATGAGATGATCATCACCATTTTTATGCAGCACGATCGGCCTCTCAGCGCCATCGTGTCCTGATTCACGGTTCGGATCGCCCATTCCCTCCAGGATGGCGACGACCGTCTTATGCAGTACGATCGGCCTCTCAGCGCCATCGTACCCAGCTCACGTTCGGCTCGTCCATCCCTCTAGGATGGCGACGACCGTCTTATGCAGTACGATCGGCCCCTCAGCGCCATCGTACCCAGCTCACGTTCAGCTCGTCCATCCCTCCAGGGTGGCGACGAACGTCTTATGCATCACGATCGGCCCCTCAGCGCCATCGTGTCCAGGTTCACGGTTCGGCTCGTCCATCCCTTCCAGGGTGGCGACGAACGTCTTATGCATCACGATCGGCCCCTCAGCGCCATCGTGTCCTGATTCGCGGTTCGGATCGCCCATTCCCTCCAGGATGGCGACGACCGTCTTATGCAGTACGATCGGCCCCTCAGCGCCATCGTACCCAGTTCACGGTTCAGATCGCCCATTCCCTCTAGGATGGCGACGACCGTCTTATGCAGTACGGTCGGCCTCTCAGCGCCATCGTACCCAGCTCACGTTCGGCTCGTCCATCCCTTCCAGGGTGGCGACGAACGTCTTATGCATCACGATCGGCCCCTCAGCGCCATCGTGTCCTGATTCACGGTTCGGATCGCCCATTCCCTCCAGGATGGCGACGACCGTCTTATGCAGTACGATCGGCCCCTCAGCGCCATCGTACCCAGCTCACGTTCAGCTCGTCCATCCCCCCAGGGTGGCGACGAACGTCTTATGCATCACAATCGGCCCCGCCGTGCCATTGTGTCGGGTTCATCTCCGGATTGCCCATCCCTTCTAGGATGGCGACGACCATCTTATGCAGCATGTCTGCCTCTCGGCGCTGACATGCCCGGGTTATCGATGAGAGCCTCCGCTTTCTATCACATCTCACATTCCTTCTCTCATACATTGCACCCATTACATTACATGCATTCATGCATTCATGCATCATACCTCATACATTCATACATACACACGTGCATCATGTTTTGGCAGTACCGCGACGTCGGTTTATAGATGCATGGACTTCTAAGCTTCTCCGATTGGAAAGCTCGAGTCAGAGTGCTTTACTCCCGCCTGATGCATTTAGGCGGAGTGTGCCCGTGGAGGAGCACCCTTCGCCCGACCCTGTCGGGAAGGGGGGTGCCTCACTGGTAGATTACGTTCAGGAGTGCAGACACTCACTCATATATGATGATTATGTGAAGACACAGTTTCCAGCAAGACAGAGGAAGGGCGCAGGCAGAGTATATTTTCTCGAGCAGATTCGCGAGCTCACTACTCAAGAAACTGGGGGACTTGTGTTGGGATATATTATCCCGGCCTATTACTGTTCAGGAGTCCAAGGCTTTACGTAGTACGGAGCCCGAGCAGCTAGGCCCATTTCGGCCCGTTGGCCCATTAGGGTGGAGAGCCCCTTCTCCCCTTCTCCTATAAATAGGGAGCTTAGCCTCCATGTAAAGGATCCGCTCCTTCTTTCTTCTTCTCCCTAGAATAGTTTTGTATAACTCCATTAATGGAGCTCAAATTGTAGAATGTAATGGTGAGGAGAGTCCTAATGAGAATTGAGAGGGCTTGGACATTAGCCTAAAAAGTCCCGTGGTTTTCTCCCTTTCGGGTTTCCACGTAAAAACTGAGTTGTTCATACACATTTATACATATATTTACTATATCGTATTGGATTAAACTCAACACTTCACCATGCTAATTGAAATAATCTCACAATCTATTTTGTCTATAGGTGCCAAAATCATTTAAGGTGCACATTTTATTTCAATGGAGCTTGCAGTTTAGTGGGCAGATGCGTGCATTTTATTTTAATCAAATCTCATTAAATATATGCTTCCTTCAAATCTCATACAACTCGGGACATTATTTCATATATACGACCTCCGTCCCATAAACAAGTTCCCGGGTTAAATTTCACACATTTTAAGGAAATAAAGTTACTGAGGGATAAATTTTACTGTTTTGACACTGTTTGGCACTGTTCGACACTGTTTGACACTGCTTTGCACTATTTGACATTGTTTTGATGTAGATAATTTGCCAAATAAGGAAATGGAAAGTTTATTTTGGGATATCTAAATAAGGAAAGTGAGAACTTGTTTCCGGGATAGAGGGAGTATATATTAAAATTCGTAACTTTTTATAAACTTTCACATGACCCCAATATTGCATATATAAAGTTTTAAAATTGAAATTTCAACCGCAAGAGGTTTTTAGACCCAAAATTATTCTTAAATAAATTCAAGTGTTAAAATTAAGATCTTGTTGTTCAATTTTTTTTACATGTTTCAATTATTATAACAATGAGATCTTAATTTAGCACTTGAATCTATATTTTTAAGAAAAAATTTGAGTCTGAAAGCCTCCTACTATTGAAACTTCATTTTTTAAAAACTTTATATGTACAATCACTATAACAAAATAGGCCTTTTGTAACACCCGTAAAATGTTGCATTACATAGTTAAAATGTTACAAAAGGTTTATGTAACACTTTTATGAGTGTTACTTCAGGTCTTGTTGCATAAAGTCATATGCAACACTTTTCACTATATTATGCAACATTTAATAAAAATGTTACATATTTTACTCTAATGCAACACTTTCACACGAGAGATTAACCACCATCTTACGCAACAGTTTTTTGAATAAAATGCAACACTAATACTATGACTTCTTGCAACATAAATTTAGATTATGTAACATGTGTGTCACTATTTTATGCAACAAGTTTCTCGAAATTGCAACACTTTTGTTAAGTTATAGGTAACACTTTTTCTAAGAAAATGAAATATATATATATATATACCCACACGTATATAGTTATAGACTTATATGCATCAATACATATCAATGAAAATGTTAAAAGCATCACAATATTATATTATCCAATCAAGCAATATTCATTACATATCTTATGTGTCAAAGAGAAACTCAAATGGATAACAAGATAATCAACGTTGCACAATTTGAAATAAATAGTATTGTAATATATCAAAATTGATAATAACAGCAACCGATTAATCCTTTAAAAAACTAGCTAATTAAATATCTCTGACTCTATACTCCAAGCGAGTTGACATCAAAATTTGGAATCATGGCAGACAGTTTTGCTAGAATCAAATCCATCTTCTGTTTCTCAACTTCACGCTCCTTCCGCATTTGTTCTAGCTCGGCATCTTTTTTCTCATTTTTTTCTTCAATCTCCTTTCTCAAAGTGCTCATGACTGTCTCCATATCATTAGAAGTCATGACATACGACTGTACGGTCTCTTTTGTATTAGCAAGGTCTTTCTTGGTGACACCTCTTCCACACATTATTGGACCAGCACTTTTCTCCTTTGACATAATTGCAGCATACCCATCAATTGCAGCTTCACCTTCTTCATTATTTTCTGCCTCATAATTCTTCATTTCAATCTGTACATGACATATGATGATAATCACTAAACTAATCCAGTTTTTTCTGCCTCATAGTTTTGCATCTAAGATCAAATGACATTGACGATAAATTATACCACCAAAGCATCATCATAAATTTTTCCGTAGTTTTTCACTCAAATTGTTGTTCTTGAAAAAAAAAAACTGATCTAACGTACAACCAACAAATGCCAAACCACTGCTCCATAAATTTACACTCAATGCACCATGTTGCAAAAAACATTCCAACAGTTCAAAAAAGTATCATATCGAAGACATATGTCACAACTCAAATGGATTAACTCAAAAGGCAATACCAAGCTTGATATAGATTGAACCTGAGATGGCTTTTGTGCAAGAAACGGAGATGATTTCCAACTGAGACTAATACATGTCCCTTTCTCCCTTGCTTGTACCGATAGTTTTGAGTTTAGTTCGAAAGACTTTATTTTTCCTAATAAAAGTTACAGGATATCCAATTTCCTACAAGAATTCACTTGGAACAACTCCTTTGATGCAGTGAATAAAAATAGTCAAGTCACTTTATTTTAAAGGGTGATAAAATATTATCAAATGATAAATTTTGATGGTGTTTAATGATTTCATAGTCTTCCAAACAACTCCTACATAAAATTACTGCCAGCAAAAAAACACAATGCAAAGTGTACAAGGAAATTTAAGATGTATGCCTCATTAAAAATAAACATTCTCGATTTCAAATAAATTAGTGATGGGTAATAAATCACTGAAATAATAAAGAGATAATATAATATGACAACGCAAGACTCACAATTTTTGTGGCAGTATCTTCATATGAACTTTTATATTGACGCCCCTCAGTTCTTTTGCGTGTGACTTCATACATAGTTGATAATGGTATGTCAACATCATTCGGAAGGGTAGTTTGCTGTGATAAATAGAAAAATCATTTGTAACATTATACAATTAACAAACAATAAAAAGTTGTTACACAAAATATGTATGGTACCAATTTTGCACGAAGTCTGGCAAAAGACTTGCGACCCGTCGTGGGGTTATCTTTTCGGAGAGCGCGATTAGCCTTCTTACGGTTACATTGTTGCTACATTGAATGTTCGCAAAAATTTAGTCTTGGCAAATGTGAAAGAATAAAATTAAAAATAGAATTACATTTATATTTTATTTAATGTACATGGTAATCTTTACAATTCCACAACTTTAAGAGCATTCGAAAATCTTTTTCAGGAATCTCTTTTGGCCGCTTACTCCATCTGCTCTTATTATCCTTGTACTGTGAGCAAAATTTTTCCTTGAACCGACACTTGTGAACTCTCCAGGCTGATCCAATTGTACTCAATACCCATTTTTTTCCATTCAGGTCAACGTCATATTTGGACTATATAAGCGGGTAAAAAGTTAGTTATATTAGCTTTAAATGTTATAATATTTAATTAATTAAAAAAATTCTCGTAATTAATCTCAAATATGAACTTTCTTTTTATAATAATTCAATGTATGTAATTCATGTATAATATTAATTACAGGGACTATCTTCTCAAAGCGAGCAAAGGCCACTCACAAATTCATAAACATGTAAAAACCCAATTAAATGAAAAAAGCATCACCAAAAAAGTAAGAGACTAAGAGCTCTATAATACATACCAGTACATAGTCCCACATGCTGTTCTTGTCCGGCATACGTTTCCAAGTTCCAACTACCAATGGAGCAAACTCATAACAATGAGCAATTGTCCCCAAAAAGGATGAGAATTCATCTAGTGTAGCATCATCCGGTCCAATTGGCTGACCAAACTTATTTAATATGATGCATACACGATGTTCTCGCATATGCACTGCATGCATCATTGTAGGACCCCTAGTGTTTTTTGTTCTTTCCGAATTATCTAAATAATACATCAAAAACATATCATTATTACATTTAATGTAAACTGTCTCACTGATGAGAGATTATAACTTTATAAGTACTTGAAGTTGTTGAAGTCCTTTTATATAGAAAGGAACTGAAAGCACTTACGTGATCTTTTTTGTATCTCACCACCTGTCACCTCATGTTCAAGCTCCACTTGTTCATTCAGACCGTCATTTTGTTCATCTTCAACGTGTTCATCAATCATAGCATCGCTGATATTCTCTTCTATATCTTTGTCACCACCTGCTTAAAATAAGTAGTAAAGTCAAACCTCTGAAATTAGTAGCATTGCCATTAACAACAGTTATTGTCCTCAAGCAAGTATTAATAATTACATAATTCTTGAAACAGGGACATAATGTTTATTAACCATAATAAACCAAACCAAACCTTAAACCTAATATGAGCAGTATTGGGTATTTGGCAGGATGACCATTTAGTGATAGGGAATTTAGGTGATTCTCGGGCTGTTATATTATGAAAAAATCCGCTAATAAACTGGTCTCTTTCATATATTGAAAGGATATTATGAGAAATCCAGAAATGAGTAACTCATACCTTCCTCTCCACCGAAATCTTCATAGAAATCAAAAATCTCTTCATCTGTCCATGCATCAATACCAATATCCTCTTGCACTGTATTATTAGGTGAACTCATAATATCTATTTTTCAACAAATAATAATATTGTGCGGGCAAAATACACTATGATCCAATCAAATAACCACAAAAACATAATTTCAACAAATAATAATATTGTGCGGGCAAAAAACAACTTAATTTTGATATATTTTTATAAAAATTGGAGAAATATAATAAAAAAAGTTACACCACTTTAAATAAAAAATAGAATTTTATTTTGGATGGTCCCCTTTTGTGCAGCAAGCTGTTCCAACGTAACCTAGCAATCAAATCATCAAATGCATTCGGAACATGACTTGCCAAATAATTACTTTTTCTCTAAATCCCATTCCGTTCAGAATTAGAATTTTTGAATGCCGCATTTTCATACTCGAAACCCAGTTCTCGTGTTTTTGGATGAGAGTTTTAAAAGTCCCGTTGTAAGAGTTTCCTCTATATTTTCTCTTAAGCGTGTATGTATTGTTTATAATACTATTTTCAGTCTTTGAATATATTTATTGGGAGTTTTTCTTTATCTTTTGGGACTAAGACTTGATTGTTGTTGTTATTGTTGTTGTATTCAACACTTTTATAAATTTATCGATATGTGTTGTTGTTGTAAAAGACACTAGACGCTAGTTGGGCGGTGGCTGACCGCTTAGCGCCTAGTCCATGGTGGCATAGGTTTTACTATTTATTTATTTTGTTTTATTTATACTTCCTATGAGTTTTAATATTATTTATTAATGAATTTATAATATATTGACATATAAATATCTTACGAAGTACATAGGTATTAAATGTTCTGTTGTTGTGGCCAAGTTATAAACAAATAACAATAAAACTAATAAAACGAATAACTACAATATGAGGATTTGTGTTCGTAGTCTCTAAAATTTTGTATATATTTAAAACATATTTTCTTTATTATGGAGTTAGTAAAACAAATAGTAGGAATAGAATAATTGTTTATCAAATGATGTTTTTAAGATAAAGTGAAGAAAATAAGTTGGACCGAACACTAATATATTTAGGCCAACACTTTGCCTATGACGTTCTCATATATTCAATTCGCATTCCGTTCACCAAAATTAAATTTATAATCGATTACATTAAAATCGGGACATAAGAGTGGTGTCTTTTTCAATTCGCATGATTTATATTTGAAATGCAACAAAGTTCATGGTGTCTTTTTCGATTATATTTGATTTACAAAGAAATACATTAGGCTTACATATTTTTCGTGTGTAATTTAAATTTTATATCAAATCATTTGCACCAATCATATAACTTTTGTATCAATAAAAAATATACAATTACACAAAATATATAACACTTACATATTATTCACACATTATCTACATTATTTTGTACAATCACTTATACCGAAAATATATTTTTTGCATTAAGAAGCAGTATTTGAAGAATTCAATTGCAACAACAATGAAGCTTCCTCCATGTGCAAGCAACAACCATGAAGCTTCCTCCATGTGCAAGAATGACAAATGGAGCTTCCATACACCTAGGAGTGACCTTCCTTCCAACCACCATTGAAGCTTCCTTCCACCTTCATAGTACCTAGTTTTGGTGCTATAAATAGAGAGCTTGGAGAGTCTTTCTATCATCAAGCAATTTAGATCATAGATTAGAATTCCACAACCAAGTTTGAGTTGTGAATATCCTTGAGAGATATGTGAGGTGTTTTGAGAGTTTTTAGTTAGAGCTTGTATGTCTCTTCTTTCTATTCTTGAAAGTAATAGAAGTGTTTTTCTCTCATATTAGCACGATCCTTTTATTCCCAACAAGTGGTATCAGAGCCTGGTTGAGCTTTTGATATTTTTCCCAGATTTTTTCAGATAAAATTCTACTGTCTGAAAAATCGAGTTTTTCAGTATTGCTCGGAATTGCAATCTGATTATACCGTTGGATTCGTCTCGTCGAGACGAGAAAACTGGTATTTTTGGGGATTTTTTTGGCCACCGGAAGCTGCCGTACGCGCCGCCAAACGCCGGCCAAAAATGCCTGCGTCATGCTGACGTCATCACGCGCAGACAGAGGTTGGAGACAGCTGACGTCATCAGCCAGCCAGAGCTGCGTCAGCGACACGTCAGCGCCACATGTGCAGTCCCAGCACAGTCAGCCGCCACGTCACCAGTCAACTGCCAACTTTCACCAGCGCCCAGTCAGCTGCCACGTCATCGCCCAGTCACCGCCACGTCACTGCCACGTCATCTGCCACGTCACCGGTCAGTTTTTAAATTTTGAAAAATTGCAGTTTGGTCCCTCAATTTTTGAAAAATTATAATTTCGGCCTATAATTTTTCGAAAATTGTATTTTGACCCCGAAAGTGCCTACCCACCATTTTCGGCCGTTCCGGACGCAACGGTGCTGCCCGTTTTTCGAAATTCTGCTCCGATTTTTCTGAAACAGAAAATCAAAATTATTTAGAAGGTGAAAATGACCTTTGACGAGTCAACTTCATCTTCCGGAGCTATGATTATGCTCACGGCTACCAACTACACGCTATGGAAACCTCGGATGGAAGATTTCCTTAGCTGTAAAGACCTTTTTGATCCAATAGAGATGAAAGGTATTAATCCTGACCCGGCTAAGTCAACGGAATGGAAGAAAATTAATAGAAAAACTATTGGTCAAATCCGACAATGGATTGACCATAGTGTCTTCCACCATGTTGCACAAGAAACCGATACTTATGCCTTTTGGAAAAAGTTAGAAGATATGTACCAGGCCAAGACCGCTAGGAACAAGGCCCTACTGATGAGGCGTCTTGTCAATATGAAGCTCAAAAGTGGAACTTCTGTTGCCGAACATACTAGTCAATTTCAGAGTCTGGTAAATCAACTATCTTGTGTAGAAATGCCACTTGGAGATGAAATGCAATCTCTACTGCTTCTTAGTTCCCTTCCTGATAGTTGGGAGACACTAGTTGTTACTCTCAGCAACTCAGCCCCAGATGGCAAACTTACCATGTCTGTGGTCAAGGATGCACTGTTCAATGAGGAGGCAAGAAGGAAAGACATGAGCACAGATGAGACTCATGCGCTTGTGACAGAGAATAGAGGAAGATCACAAGGAAAACAACAAAGAAACAGTAGAGGGAAATGGCAAAGCAGAGGCAAAAGTCGGGGGAGATCATCAGATGGCCGGAAACCTTCTTATACCTGCCACCATTGCGGTATAGAGGGTCACATGAAGAAGAATTGCTACAAATTGCTAGAGGAGCGAGGCAAGAGCAATTCTCAAGCGAAGAACAAGGGTGGTGAAGCGCTCATCACAATCTCAGGTGATGTGGCATATTGTACTATCAATGATGAAGCATGCCTTCACATCTTAAGAGAGGACACTGAATGGGTGGTAGATACTGCAGCATCCTACCACGTTACTCCCCACATGTACTACTTCACAACTTACAAAGCTGGAGACTTTGGAGCAGTGAAGATGGGCAATTCCAGTTCCTCTGGAATAGCTGGAATTGGTGATGTACAAATAAAGACGAGTAATGGGAGCACAATCACTTTGAAGGATGTCAGACATGTTCCAGACCTTCGACTCAATCTCCTGTCAGTGGTATGTCTTGACGAACAGGGGTATGAAAACCACTTTAACAGGGGCACCTGGAAAATGTCAAAGGGCGTTTTGACAATCGCTCGAGGACATGTTTGTGGCACATTGTACAAAACCCATTTGAGGATTTGTACGGATAGCCTCAACATTGCTGAGGAGACTTCTCAGAATCTGTGGCACCTGAGACTCGGCCACATCGGTGAGAAAGGGCTGACTACCTTGATCAAGAAGAACCTTATCAACATCGACAAGAATGCTGCACTGGGTCCTTGCAGTCATTGTCTGTTTGGTAAGCATCATAGAGTATCATTTAGTTCTACTTCAGCTAAAAGATCAGAGTTGTTAAGTTTGGTACACTCCGACGTCTGTGGTCCTTTCGAGGTGGAATCAATCGGTGGAAGCAGATATTTTCTGACTTTTATTGATGATGCTTCTCGGAAAGTGTGGGTGTATTTCCTGATTACGAAAGATCAGGTATTTGAGTGCTTCAAGACATTTCACGTCTTGGTGGAACGTGAAACGGGAAAGAAGCTGAAATGTCTCCGATCTGATAATGGAGGCGAGTATACTTCTAAGGCGTTCGATGCATATTGTAGAGAATATGGCATTCGACATGGGAAGACAGTACCACGCACCCCTCAGCACAACGGCGTTGCTGAAAGAATGAACCGGACTATCATGGAGCGTGTCCGGAGCATGCTGAATATGGCTAAGCTTCCGAAGTCATTCTGGGCAGAAGCAGTCAACACCGCATGCTATCTTATCAACCGATCATCTTCGGTACCACTGAACTTTGAAGTTCCAGAGAGGCTATGGACAGGTAAGGATCCTACATACTCACATCTTAGAGTATTTGGCTGTTCATCATATGCACATGTATCCAAAGAGCTCAGGCAGAAGCTCGATGCAAGAACTATCCCATGCATTTTCGTTGGCTATGGAAATGAAGAGTTTGGATACAGGTTATGGAATCCTAAGGAGAAAAAGGTGTTCAGAAGTAGGGACGTTGTGTTCCACGAAGATTTGACAATAGAAGACATTGAAAAACCCACAATGTCTCGGAAGTCAAATGAGGGTGCTCAAGTTTCAAATGAAGCACCAGAAGAGGACAAAGTGCATGAAGATAACTCAGAAGCAGAAGAACACGAGGAGACAGAAGAGAGTGCAGGGCAAGGGGAGACACAATCCACCCCGTCAGACACAAATGATGGTAGCTCTTCTCAGATGGTTCCTACTGTTCGTAGATCTGAACGAGGGCATATACCATCGACAAGGTACACATCATCTGAATATCTTTTGTTAACTGAAGATGGAGAACCAGAGAGTTTTCAAGAAGCTGTATCTCATAAGGATAAAGAAAAATGGTTAATAGCAATGCAGGATGAGTTAGAATCTCTGCAGAAAAATCAAACTTATGAGATCGTAGAACTTCCTAAAGGGAAGAAGGCACTGAGGAACAAATGGGTGTTCAAGCTGAAGAAGGATGCAAACGGACAAGTGGTGAAACACAAAGCTCGGTTGGTTGACTTTGATGAGATCTTTGCACCAGTTGTCAAGATGACCTCAATCCGAGTTATACTTGGCTTAGCAGCAAGTATGAACTTGGAGCTTGAACAGATGGATGTGAAGACAGCATTTCTTCACGGAGATTTGAAAGAAGAAATCTATATGCAGCAGCCAGAAGGTTTTGAGAACTCAAATGATAATTTTGTGTGTAAATTATCTAAGAGTTTGTATGGCTTGAAGCAGGCACCAAGGCAGTGGAATAAGAAGTTTGACTCATGCATGAAGAGTCAAGGCTACAAGAAGACTACTGCAGATGAGTGTGTATACATCAAGAAACTTCCAGACGGTACCTTCATTGCTCTTCTACTATATGTAGACGACATGTTGATCGTTGGGAAAGATGCAGTGAAGATAAACCAACTGAAGAAAGAACTCTCTAAGTCTTTTGATATGAAAGACTTAGGACCGGCTCAACAGATTCTTGGGATGCAGATCACTCGAGACAGGAAGAATCGCAAGTTATGGCTATCTCAGGAGAAGTACATTGAACGAGTACTTGAGAGATTCAACATGAATGATGCCAAGCCAGTAAGTGTTCCACTTGCGAATCACTTCAAGTTGAGCAAAAGAACATGCCCTACATCCAAGGAAGAGATCGGGGAGATGTCAGCAGTTCCATATTCTTCAGCAGTTGGGAGTTTGATGTACGCCATGGTATGCACAAGGCCAGACATCGCACAAGCAGTGGGTACAGTGAGTCGTTTTCTCTCTAACCCCGGGAAGGAGCATTGGGAGACAGTCAAATGGATTCTCAGGTACTTGAAAGGTACCACGAAGTTATGTCTTTGTTACGGAGGAGTTGATCCAGTCTTGGAAGGCTACACAGATGCTGATATGGCAGGAGATACTGATAGTAGAAAGTCTACTTCAGGATATATCTACACTTTTGCAGGGGGAGCCGTTTCTTGGCAATCAAGATTGCAGAAGTGTGTTGCTTTATCTACAACAGAAGCAGAATACATTGCTGCCGCTGAAGCAAGTAAGGAAATGTTGTGGCTAAAGCGTTTTCTCCAAGAACTTGGGATCCAGCAGAAAGAGTACAAAGTACATTGTGACAGTCAGAGTGCTCTAGACTTGAGCAAGAACTCTATGTACCATTCTCGTACAAAGCATATTGACATTCGGTATCACTGGATACGAGAGACGATTGATCAACAACTGTTGAGACTAGTGAAGATCAATACAAAGGAGAATCCATCAGACATGCTGACGAAGGTGGTGACACGGGATAAGCTAGAGCTGTGCAGAGACATAGTCGGGATGCTTGTTTTGAATATGCCTGGAAGGGGAGAATTGAAGAATTCAATTTCCAGGTCATATCCAAGTACAAGCAAATTGAAGAATCCAATTGCAACAACAATGAAGCTTCCTCCATGTGCAAGCAACAACCATGAAGCTTCCTCCATGTGCAAGAATGACAAATGGAGCTTCCATACAACTAGGAGTGACCTTCCTTCCAACCACCATTGAAGCTTCCTTCCACCTTCATAGTACCTAGTTTTGGTGCTATAAATAGAGAGCTTGGAGAGTCTTTCTATCATCAAGCAATTTAGATCATAGATTAGAATACCACAACCAAGTTTGAGTTGTGAATATCCTTGAGAGATATGTGAGGTGTTTTGAGAGTTTTTAGTTAGAGCTTGTATGTCTCTTCTTTCTATTCTTGAAAGTAATAGAAGTGTTTTTCTCTCATATTAGCACGATCCTGTTATTCCCAACAGTATTTGGTATATTTTGTTGTTGTACTTTCTCGCATATTATAGTATTTATTCTATTAAATGCCAACATCCTAGATTAGAATGAGTTTCAAACATGTATTCGGAAGTGTCACACTGATGTCATCGAACTACGAGATGCTTTGTATCAATAAATAATACTGGTAATGGATATCACATTTACTAGGTAGTATGGTAAGAACTAAGAAGTAAAGTATGTGTCTCAGGTCAAGTATGCGTGTAGCAGCCTGGTTAGTTAAATAAGGTACATGAATTAAACAAGATTACATACGTAAAAATTCGTTCAAAAAGTGTTAACTTTTAACAAACGTCTAAATATGTACTCCCTTCGCCCCTTAAAACTTTGCCAACTTTCCTTTTTTGGTTGTCCCAATAACTTTGCCACTTTCTATTTTAAGTAAAGAATTTGTGGTTCCAGTTAATTCTCTCTCCTCTGCACAAACCTCAACCACACAGTTCTTACTTTATTAATCTCCGTGCCGGTCAAACTTGGCAAAGTTTCAAGGGACGGAGGTAGTATATGTATATAGTGCAGTATCTGTTACAAAAACCCAGATAAAAAATACGGGTCTAAAAAAACCATACTTTTGAGACACGTGTTTGAAAAAACATAAAAAAATTAGTACTACGTAGTACTTTAAGTTTTAGTGTTTTAGGATGCTAGCTTTAATCGCCATATATTTAATTTTGGTATTTAATAATTGTATATGTTGTATTGTAACAATACAAAAACAAGGATTCACAGTGAGACATTTTTCGTTTTGCATTTAATGCATTCATTCGATCGATCAATAAGTAATTGCCTTTAATAGGAGTAAAACATATTATTTTTTTCCTAAATAGGAGTAAACATTAATTTTTACCCTTAATACCCCTACTCAAATTAATTGTCCCATGATTCCCTAGCATAATCGGGTGAGTCTGTTGGTGGTGGCTAACGGTGACCGATAGCGCCTGCAGACTAGTGGAGGCAGCTCTGACCGCTACTCCTCAGGGTATTCTTGTTTACATGTTTTACTTCTATTTAGGAAATTACGTCGTGATCCATTCATTTTGTTTTTGTAAAATCTGTGATTCTTTCCTTTTTTTTAAGTGAACCTTATTCTTTGTTTTAAAGGTGTTTTTTAAGTTGACAACTCCGGTATCCATTTAAAAAATGGGATAGTGTACCTACCATGCATTTGATTGGATCAAATCATTATGTTCTTGTAAATTTAGATTTAAATAATTCGAGTGGTTGATGTTTTTTTATTCGAAAAAGGTAGTTGCATTTAAAACTCAAAAAGCTAACGACGTCCGTCTGTCCATCTCTGTAGGAAGTGGAGATGAAATCGCGAATTTCCCGGCGATTTTGCTTCTGAGCGGAAACAAACTCTGCGGAGATGAAACTCAAGTGTTGTGAACAAACACAAGGAAGCGCACGACCACATTTTCCGGGCACACGCCATCGCATTCCTTTCTCCACAAATAAACCACTCTAACTTCCGCCTTATAATCATCATGCAACTATCGACACACTCACACACACGCAAATTGGGTTGATCTCTCTCACCTCTGTTTCCGTTCTGTATATAAATGGATCTCTGCTTTTTCATCCCTTACGATCACGCCGACTCTCTCACTCCAATGTATGTGTTTGAAACCTTGTTACTCCCTGATTTTATATGACATTTACGTGTGGAGATTCAAATTTGATTTGAATGTAAGATGCTCGATGAATTGTGCTGAGTAATGGTAGTTGTCACTGGAATTTGAACAGATTTTACAAGGTGGAGGTGAAATGGCCGCAGCTCCACACCCACAGTGCACGACAAGTAACGACGCGAACAATTCTTCCAATGAACACTCAATCGATGATATTGAATGTGACCAGATTGTTGTCCCAGATGTCAGCGCCTTCTTTTTCTCTTTACAATCTTTTTTTCAGCTGATTGGATATTGTATCCGTTGCCATATTATCCACGTTTCTAAGGAAAATTGTATGAGTACAACAATATGAAAAACTAATTTAACCAACGAGTTAAAGAAGTTAATGTGACGAGTGTGATTAGCTCTAATGTCAAGGTGATATGCTGTGTTGTGAAACATGATTTCGCCAAGTGTAAGTTGATGTACTTGTAGCATAACCCATTTCGAATTAAACTAAATGAATCGGTGCGCATAGTGCTGAAACATCAGCATAAAAAGAAAGAGCCACACGGCCCACACGGCCACACACGTGGCGTGACTATATCGCGCACTAGATCAGTTCTTGATTCTAATTAAAGGTTGAAATTTCTAGATTTAAAAGCTCATGTTTGGTATGTTTTAAAACCAAGATGGCATTTTGTCAATTACTTTCTAATTTATTTTGCAGAAAAAGGGGTGGAAGAAGTTTTTGGCATATTTGGGTCCAGGATTTCTTGTTTCTATTGCTTATATTGATCCTGGAAATTGTAAGTCAATCAATCTAAATTAGCTTTTATTACCATTATTAAACCAAATATGTTGTTATGGCTGGTTATGATATTTGCATGTTTTCTACTTTGCTAGTTCAAAGTGACCTCCAAGCAGGAGCTCAGTACAAATATGGGGTGGGTGACCATAATTCTTTATTTTCACTATCTTTTTAGGTTTTACAGTTTTCATTTGCAGTGTTAGACTTCTTTACCTTCTGACGTTTGCCAAACATACAATGATCACATGCCTTATTTAATTTTTTTAATTCTTTGCTAGTTACTGTGGATTATATTGGTAGCTTCATTTGCTGCTGTTATTGTCCAAATGCTGGCAGCAAACCTTGGAATTGTTACAGGTTTATTTAATCTCTTAGAACTGTATCTTAGCATGCGTCTAATGTTTAACACTCATAATACTCTCAAATCTGAACTCTCTGTTTGGTTCTTGTCCATTTTTTAAATTTTTTAATGTAATTTATTGTAGGAAAGCATTTAGCTGAACACTGTCGACAAGAGTATCCAAAGATCTTGAGTTTTATCTTGTGGATTATAGCCGAAATAACTATAGTTGCATGTGACATCCCCGAAGGTAAATTTCCATGTTAGTTCTCCTTATGTCAATGTCACATATGTTGATATGTATCTTTCTATTTCTTCCTATTATTTATTTATATATTTATTTTTGTTTGTTTGTTTATTCGTTGGTTATTTATTTGTTTGTTGTTTTTTTTATTTCAGTGATTGGAACGGCTTTTGCACTGAACATGCTCTTCAATATAGTGTTATGGTGTGGCGTGCTAATCACTGGCCTGAGTACATTGGTCCTACTATTACTGCAGCAATACGGGGTAGTTCTTTATTTAATAAACGCAAAATAGAGACTCTCCGTCTTCCATAACTGTTGTTTTACAGGAAAAAGTTAAACTAGTTTCACTTTGAAATACTAAGAAAGCATCAATCTCTCTCTTTTCCACCATTACCCTTCATTCATCAATGCTCCATAGTAACTTTGAAGACATTAGTATAGGTATTTTCTTCATAATATAGAACGCAGAGAGTACTATTTTTTAGTTTGATGAAAGTTAAAATGAGTTTCAAACATTTTGTAGGTGAGGAAACTTGAGATCTTTATTGCTTTGCTTGTGTTCACAATTGCTGCATGCTTCTTTGTGGAGCTTGGATATGCAAAACCTAAATCATCGGAAGTTTTACATGGTCTTTTCGTTCCACAACTTGAAGGAGATGGAGCCACTAAGCTAGCTGTCTCACTTCTTGGTGCTATGGTTATGCCGTATGTATTTCTTCAACTAATTTTGAATTATCTTTTTTACCTTTTTGATCTTGATTATTCATTAAATGGTATAGGCATAATCTTTTCCTCCACTCGGCACTTGTCCTTTCTAGGAAAATCCCCCGGTCTTTCAATGGCATCAAGGTACTATTATATGTGGAGTACACATCTAGTTTCAGAAAATCCCCCGGTCTTTATACAAGATTACATCGGCTAAATTTATTTGAAAACACACCAATATTGAAAAAGAAGTCTCTCTGATGGATTTGCAGGATGCAAGAAAATTTTATTTGATGGAAAGTGCATTGGCATTAATGGTGGCATTTCTGATCAACGTTTCAGTTATTTCAGTTAGTGGTGCGGTTTGCAATTCACCAAATTTGGACACTGCTGACAAACTCAAGTGCCAAGACTTGGATTTGAACAAAGCTTCATTTTTGCTTAAAGTATCCAACTCTTCAGTTTACGTAATCATATCATGGTAAAACTTCATTAAGCTTGTGACGATGATAATCTTCTACATTTCTTTGCAGAATGTTCTTGGTAGATGGAATTCCAAGCTTTTTGCAATTGCTTTGTTGGCTTCCGGACAGAGTTCTACCATTACCGGGACATATGCTGGACAATATGTCATGCAGGTTGTTCTATTATTTCATCATCATGCCATCATCACCATCATCTCTATGTCTCTCTCATTTACGATGTGATTTGTTTTACGTACAGGGGTTTCTAGATTTGAAGCTGCAGCCCTGGATTAGGAACTGTCTGACTCGATGCTTAGCAATTATCCCAAGCCTTATTGTTGCGATCATCGGCGGGTCGAATGGTGCTGGAAACCTAATTATCATTTCATCGGTATTAGCTAGATTCTTGGCTTTTCCTTTTGTTCTAAGAAAGAGAATCATTTTTTTTTGTTTTTGTTAAGAAGCTTGACTGTGTGTGTATCACAGATGATTTTATCATTTTCGCTTCCTTTTGCTCTCATTCCTCTTTTGAAGTTCACAAGTAGTAGATTGAAGATGGGTGTACACACCAACTCATATTTTGTAAGATTTGTCATATACTTTTAAGCACAGTTTTGTTCTCACTTTATTATGCAGTGGTATATATAATTGTATGCTAACATGATATCTTTTTGTGGGGGGCAGATTTCAGCCTCAACATGGGTTATCGGGGCTCTTATAATAGGCATCAACGTGTACTATCTGGTAGAGAAATTAGTTATATCTCTCCGTAGCAGCCATCTTAAATTTGTGGGAACTGTGTTTTGTGGAATCTTGGGATTTTCAGCCATGCTCGTGTATTTGGCCAGCATTGCTTACTTGGTGATTCGGAAGAACAAGGAAGGTGGTGCGCACTTGCTAGCATTGACCACGTCTGAAATCAGGGGCGGATCCAGTGCTGTTCAAGACTATGCACATGAACACCCAAAAAAATCAGTTTTCTTTACCATAAGTACGTCATTTTAGTTTTTTCTAAAAATTTCGAACTGTCGTAGACGCCGGCAGGGTGTTGTCTCCTTCAGACTCTAGTGGCCACCGCACATCTTTGCTCTGCTTCAGCATTCCTGTTGCCGCCGCCCGACGCCCGACGGTGCTCTATCGTTTGTCGAGAGTTCCATCTCCCTAGTCACGAGCTCCAGATTCCCAGCCTTGGATTTTCTCCATCTCGCGAGTTGCAATGGTTTCCGTCATCATCAGTCCACCAACGGTACTCTAGTCTCCTTAATCCACGGGTTGAAGGTAAACAGTTCCACCATGGCATCCTCTTCTCGCGATCATGCCTGACGCCTCCACTCCACGTTAGTGGTTAGACCTAGTTTTTGTAAATCTAGTACTCCGTATGAAATTTATAAATTCATTTTCTAATTCCCATTTCCCACTAGTCACTGCTTGCCTAGTTGCCTTGAAAGTATTGGAATATATGATGTCAGGTTTAGTGGATTGAAAACATTTTATACAAATTGAATGTCCGAACTCTTGATGTCGACAATATAATTTTGCTTAAAGTTTTTGCTCAATATATGGGTGTTTTACTCAACATTTGCTTAATTTTTTGCTTAATTTATCTGTTGAATCCGAGTATGATTTTTGCATAAATAGTTTCTGTTGATTTCAAGGATTTATTGAGAAAAATTTACTTCATTTATGTAAGTATTACTAATTAATATCAATTCTAAAAGGAGCCAATAGCAATTCTTAATTCTAAATTTTAAAGTAACTTTGAACACCCAAATTGCAAGTGCTAGATCCGCCACTGTCTGAAATCCCTGCTACCACCATTGCTTCCGGTGACTTTTCCGTACATTGTGATGCAGGGAAAATTTGCAAAAACAAATATCAATAGTGCCTCAAAGGTTTAGGATTTCGAATCGTGAAGAGCAGGTTTATTATTAATATTATCAAGGATTAAAGATGGTGTTGAAAACATGATATTGATACGCTATTAGTGTACATAAATTGTGAATGAAGTTTTATGTTTGCATTACCCTTTTATAGTGATTCACAAAATCTAAGGTAAGATGTATGCTAAATAACGTGTTTCGAAATATTATGTTAGTTGGGTTGAGTCGTATTTCACATGATTGCTGGATTTTGTTGTGCTAAGAACATTTCGACTTTAGAGAGTGCAAAAATGAAAAAATGCCTGACTTTTTAGAAAATATTATTGTACCATTGAATACGGATTACGGAGGATTTTAAAATTAAAACCTCATAATCCAAACATTAAGGAGCGCACTTCCACATCGTTTGATGCACATATTTTCTTTTGCCACTAATTCACTCTTTTCAAGAACATGCATGTCTCTAGCTTTAAAAATAAGTACTTCTACGGTTCTACCATAGTCAATAAGTCAAGCCCTTTCCTTTTTGTCACTCCGTCTCAGTTTCTTTGTCTAATCTTCATTTTTCCTCTTGTCCCTCTAAATTTGTCTCACATCATATTTGGTAAGATTTGTGTAGTTTTTTTGTGTAGTTATAAACTATTCTTACTTTAATTGTACTTTATATTTTTAAAATCAACAACATAATTTTATATTTCTTAATAATCGTGTCATTCACTCATTCCCGATCTTAGTGGGATGGGTGTAGTATAGATTGAAAATATTATTGATTAGGTCTTCTTACAATGTTTGGTTTTCCTATTATTTTAAGAGCTCATTTGATAACATTGAAAGTGATTGAATCGATTAAATTTGCTGAAATTGATGAAATTCTAGCTGAATTGGTAGAATCTGCTGAATTATGGATAAATTATACGTAGTATTTTAGATAGGTTCAATTAATTAAATAAAGAAAATGATCATCTCCAATAACTTTAGCCAATTCAGTTAAAAAGTAACTTCAATCTTATTTATTTTAATTACAAAACAATTCCGAGTGTGAAAATAAAAGTTAAGTATTTGATAACATAACACTCACTTATAGTCTTTATTTGAGTAAACTCTGTATAAGTTAAACCTATAACATATAATGTGACATATGTACTACGAGAAGTAGTGCTCTTATATTTCGCTAGAATCAAATTTCACTAAAATTTCCTATAATTCTATAAATATGATGGAATTCTCATATGTTAAATACATTTCTGTTGGAGTAGTATGAACTTGACGGATGGGAACAATACCACCCGTCGATAAAAGAAGGGAATAGTTTAGGAATCTTCTGTCCAAAGGAAAGTTTGCATGAAAAATGAAAGATTAGAGTAGAAAAGAAGGCGTATTGCTGAAGGCACGAGGATGAGTTAAGATGTGGAGGTTGCAAATCATTTTTTAGAAATGGGCACCAATTTGTTGGAGAAGCCTGTCTTGGTCGTTAAGCAACTGGAATTTAGTGATCCCAACGTCATATAGTCATATTATTGGATAAAAAATGCTACTTGTACACGCCGACTTACACGCTCTTTTACACGCCGAGTGTATTTTTTCTTTGCGTATACAATTGATTTTCATTTTAGTAAAGGAAACAGTCTGTGACTCCGAAAAAGAGAATGGTTTGTGCACAGACAATTCGGGGTCACAGGCAATTCCCTTTACTAAAATGAAAATCAGTTGTATGTGACTCCGAAAAAGAGAAGGGAAAAGAGAATTGTATGTACACAGACAATTCGGATTCACAGACAGTTCTCTTTACTACAATGTAAATCAATTATTCACACACGGATAAAATATACTGTGTAAACGAGCATGTATGCCGGTATACAAGTAGCATTTCTGATACTGGATCGCTAGGGAATTAGAAGTGATGCAGATGATGATTGGATTATTGGATATGATTTGCATTTTTCTTTATCGCATTTCTTTTCTATTTAGTCCAAGTATTTATTTTTTGCATAGTTGGGGTAATTAGTGCTTTTGGCTGGTCAGGATTCAAGAGAGATAGAAGTACGGGAACCATCAAGGTCATTAGCAATTTCAATACTCTTTTAATATTGCTCTTATGATTGCAAGGTTAATTTTGGGTTTCATTTGGTGGGTTTATTGTCATTGCTCCTATTCCAACAATACTCCCCAGTTCTTTACTTTCTGTCACCTCGTGTTTTCAATGAGATTAAGAAAAGTAATAGGGGATAATAACTATGGTAAATAAAGAACGAAATAGTGGTAAAAACGCCAATAAAACATTCTGAGGGGTATTCAAGATGGTGCATGGGGCCCAGAATTCACACAATGTATTGTAGTTACTTGATGAATAAATTTAAGAAATGCCAAGAGGTTTTGAAGGATTCATAGCATAGTAAGTAGTAACCATAGTTGTCATACAAGGTGTCCGCTTTCATGATAAAATATAGGCAAAAAAGTTGGGCAGATTTAAAATGATGATTCTAGGCCTCCGCCACCTGCTCCAATTCCATTTCAGAATATACAGCCAATTAAATATTTGCTGGCCAAAACTAGACCTTGAGCACAAGCAAAATGAACTGGCTTGGAACATTTGAAATTTTGAAACACATTGCCTTATTAGCTTCTTTTCACACCCTTAGCCTTTGTGTCAAAAACCAAAGCCTTGACGGAGAGCCGTGGTTTTGTACTAAACACTTCCTTTGGAAGAACTGACACACCACCCACTGCTAAACCACCAGGAGTTCCAGAAAGCGGTAGTAACTCAATAAGGACAGCAAACTGTAAAAAGTATCAGTGTTCAATAAATCAAAAACACCGACAAGCAAAATCACCGCATTTCTCAAAAAACAGGAAAAAATTCACCTCTGGGTGCTTTAGATCTACTACTGAATTGGGGATAATATCTTTTACAATTGCTGCAACAACATCAAAGCATTTAGTACGGTCCAGCAAAGTAGAAATATGATCATTTTTGTCACTTTGTGTATTTTTCATCTCAGACTCTTCAATGCCCCTTCTGTTATATCCCACTGCAAACTACAAAAACGGTTTTCATATGACATACTCATTTGCAAGTGGAGGAAGGGAGCAATGAATAATTCAAGTAACTAAAGTTATTTAAATAAACTAATTATAGTCTGTCAACTATATCTGCAATTGAAATGATATTAAACTATTTGTGCACATTTCTTGTACACCCCCCTAGTTGCCTGTTTGCACAGGCAGCTCATTCAGACAACTAGGCGCGTACAAGAAATGTGTACAAGTAGCACCATCCATTTTTAATTCTTCTTTCATAGAAATAACTTACAAAGAAAGACCAAAATTCACATTTGACATTTGTCCATCTGGGAATAAACCAATTCCCGTGAAACTGATGTGTGTACTGCTGCACTATCTCAAATGCAATTGCAAACCAGTTCAGGAGCTGTTTCAAGAATTTTAGCAATTCTTTTTAACTGGCCGTTAGGTGTTCAGGAAAAGTTAAGCAATAACTTGCTCATTCATATGACGTTGCAACCCCATGAAATTCAGTTTTACAAGTTTGATGGTGGTGGACGTTGTATGGTTCAAGGCTTAAAGAAGTAAGCATTTTAAAATTAGTTTTATTTAATAATAAAGAAACAGTATAATATAAAAACTGAAGCATATATATATATATACATTTATAAATATATTATTAAAATCAAATGCCTTAGTTGCTTCAACAGTCTTGATTATTTCTTACAAAATAAACACAAAAATGCTTGTTTTTGGTTGATAATCAAATTCAGAGTTTAAATTTTAGGGCAGCTTCAAAGTTTTATCAAACATTGGTTGCACTTTTATCAAAGTTGAAATCGCATTTTGGTTGGCATTGATTTTGATGTTCACTATTTTATCAAAGTCTGCTCATGTGTACAACTTTTGACGCTGTCTGCTGGTTGGTCGCTTGAAAAGTGTTGATTATTACTTTTAGTGCAGCAATAAATGTCTATCTCAATAGTATGATGTAGCCAAAGACTCAATATTTCCAATGGAGCCAAAGACTCACTATTTTTTGGTTGGAATTTGGAAATATGATGGAATAAAGCAAAATGACTCACTAAACGGTTCGATGCAATTTTCATCGCGGGTCATCCGGAAAGAGTCTCTATGTGCTTTAGTACAAGGGTAGGGATGCATACATCCGAATCACCTTACCCCACCATAGGTGATTCGGATGGGGAGCCTTTGCGGCACTGGACTAATGTTGCTGCTGTAATAGATGTCTATCTCAGACAATCTTCAGTTGATCTTGTAATTGGTTTCAATTTTTCTTGTACGGCGTTTTAGTTTATATTACGTTGATCACATTAGCTGGGATTTCCAGTAACCAGATTGAATATGTAATACTTGAAATTTAATTTAAACGGATTAATAGTACTACTCATACCAACAAGATGCATCTCCTTTTAAGGGAGCTCATCACCAAGAACTCCAAAGTTAAGCATGCTTGCACGGGAGTAGTCTTGGGATGGGTGACCCCCTGGGAAGTTTCTCAGAACGCGCACGAGTGAGGACAAAGTGCGCGGAAAAGGCTAGTGGCGGTTTGTGAGGACAATACTAGTGGTCTGGAGCAACTACCTCGGGTCCTACGGGGCCGGGGTGTTACAGAATATGATGGAGGATGGATTGGTGGCCATGTCTCAGTGTCTCTCTGAGTTGGAGACAGCCTAAGGGTGTGGGAAACTGGTAATAACTTCCTACGGAGGTTACGGACCTGATGAATGATTTTATAGGAATTCCTAGAACTGAAAAACTGTTGGCTCCGTGTAATATTGATATCTTCTGGGCAGTACCCTCATACTCATCCAAAAAGATACATCTATAATGCAAAATTAAGATATACAGAGAATTTACGATTTTATTTAAGTTAACTAAGAATAAATAGTTAAATACATAATATAAGTATATAACATTAAGCTCATCATCTTATTTGTGTATATAGAGATACATGTGTAAGCATGCATATATTTTTACTACATAGTTCCCTTTTAAATAGTTTTAGACTTTTAGTTTATTAAACAGCAACTGCCTGACTTCTCGAGTGCGTAATAAATAAAAGAAATATGACAAATGGAGCCAAGGTTTACCTCATTATTTACACATCCATATGAAATTACATATATGCGTTACATGAATTAATATGCAACAATATAGAGTGAGATTCTAAGGATAATTTCATAGGGTTAATATACAGCATGGGGAAACCCAGTGTCACTCTAGTATTGCTCTAAATTAAAACTATTGAGTCCTTGGGATTTAAATGAAGTTTTGGTTTTTGAGGCATTGAATAAACTTTGTGCACTGGTGGCATGCTTAACACATGCAATCAAGACAGGAAGCGGTGCTTCCTGTGGCAGACAGTAAATGGTTAGGTTGAAAAGTTTGGCTGATATTTTGGACACCACTATGCAATAAAAACAACGAATGGACTATCACAATAAAGTAGCAAAGTAATTGCATTACCTTAACGGGTTGGCCAAGTTTGTTTTGATTGTCAATCATAAACCCATTAACAAGCTTGGGAACTGTCATTTGAAGTCCTTTCTCATCTAAGACACATGTGCTTTGAATTGGGAATATTCGATGACACCAACTGCATCAATTGATGAAAACAACATGCTCATATCAAACAAAAAGAATGTATGAAAATGCAACACGTTAAGAGAAAGGTTGTCTAGCATGACATCTGCGATTTCTGATGGCATAAATAGATTAAAAGATGTACTATTGGCATAAATGGCATGAGAGTACACTAGAAAGTAGTGGCAGTCAAGAACATCACAATTCAAGATCCTTCTCTAATAGGTGGGGTTACAATTCAAGATCCTTCTCTAACAGTTAAGATATACGGAGCATCTAATAAAATAACTAGATACTACTTCAGCAGTTCAGCATATCAAATTAAGCCATGAGTCAGATCAACATGCATCAGGGTGACCCCAGCACAAATTAATTGCGCAAACATACATCAAATGGTAAAATGATTTAATAAATAAATCTGATCCATCTAGCATTATTCCACTATTTAGTATTACAGCCTTTCTAATAATATATTTCCACTTCTTAAAAGGCCCTTTAATGATAACAAGAGCCTAAAGTTTTCTACGTTGTTGGCAAGGCACATCAAGGAAAAGTTTTCAGTCATGAAACAGGATCCAAACTCTTTCAGAAAATCCGTGCCAAAACCTATGATTCCTTGATCTCATAGAAATTATACTAGTATCGGAACAACTTCACAATTTTATTCTGATTCAGAAATTCTAATTTCTGTTTTGCAGCACACAAGCATTTGACCACTTACCATCATGAGTGACAACAATATTCATAACAAGATAGAGCAATACAGGTAGAGCAAGAAAATAACATGTATTGCTCCCATCACCATTAAAAGAGCAATACCTGTAAAGAAAGAGATGCAGGGGGGTGGGGGGGTTACCGTGGCATGCTTAAACTGTTAGATTCTAGCGACTGGACAATGTCAAATAGAATATTGACAATTGGAGGAGACTTTCCACAAGGAAATGTTAAGAGAAGCAACCCACTTCTGGTCAACTTCACTAGAGAAAGGTCAAGATTCTTTTCTGCACACATATCAGACTCTGCATGAAACATTTAATATACATTAAGTCTACCTGCCACAATAAATTTGAATATTTGATAGCCATTATGCCCACCTTCCCAAACCAGCTCAGTGAACCTACTAGTTGTTTCAAGACTATTGCCCGACATTTCATTGCTACACCCAGACTCCTTGCAATCCAAGCTGTCAGGGTCTCCACTCCTAATGCAGAGTTTCCTTTTCTTTGAATCAGCATTTGGAATATACTGCAAATGATATTTGTGACAATTGCTATTATTAATTAGTTAATTAGCTTATCAAAGATGGTTGAGCAAGGTTTAAAAAGGCTAGTTCGGGTATCGAGGCGGTTTGTCCCAGCGAGGCGAGGCGTAAACCTTGAGGCATACTGAGGCGTAAGCCTCAAAATATAACAACAAATAAATAAAAAGTTTAAATAACTACAATCCAACTAAAGATACTTATAATTATGTCCAAAAAGTATCAAACACAAATACATTATATGGTCACATTTTCAAACACAATAATTCAGAATGAGAATCCCAACTCACAAGCAAACACATCACACATATGGCACAATTCAGAACCTGGAAGCTTAATCGCCATAACTTATAGCTCTATCATCATCATCCCTAATACCTTATAGCCTCAACTCCATCATACCTTCCATCATTACCATCATAATCCTCCCATTCTTATCATTGTGCAGGAGTATAAAAGTATTTTGACAATTTTCACTTGCCAGACTTGTCAAGGTTTAGGAAGTACATGTGGACACATGTTTAATTTATGGGCCTTTAATTAAATAAAATTTCCTGGGCCTTATTTAAGTTACAACCACAAGAAAAAATATTAAACAAAGAAAATCCCACCTCAAAAAATGCCTTGAGGCACGCCTCAAAGTTTATGCCCTGAATTTTGTAGCGTAAGCCTCTTATCTTGCTAAGTAAACCTAAGCCTCAATACCTCTATGCCCCTCACATTGAAGCACGCCTCAAAACCCGCCTCTTAACCGCCTTTTTAAACCATGTGATTGAGCAAAAAACACCCCAAATACATTTTGAATGCATGGGAAGACATTCAGAATGTAATAAGAAGAAAAATTCAAGAACTTTGAAGTTCGTGAGCATGAGGTGACAAGTACCAATAATCAAAATATAAATAATGATGAAGACAACACCAAAGCGCTAAGAGAGACAAGTATTTACGCTAGGCACTCTAGTTATAACTTAGTAATGAATATTCACAACACTGTAGACTGTAGTATAATAGCTATTTAACCAATAATACTGCCACCAACTTTTTCACTATTTAAATGTTCACTTTGATGCCTGTTTTGTTTTTGTATATCCAGTAATATATTGGTATTTTAAAAAGACAATTGTTTACTTTGATGCCAAAAAAATTGTTGACTGAAATGTGATACGGCCCCAAGGAACCACATCTCACTATCACAGTATCAGAGTCTTCTTAAAATATCACCCAAATTACCAACGTCAAGTCTCTATGGTTTCTATCAAAGACGATGCTCTTCTTGCCTAAACTCTGTCAAGGATGAGTCTGCCAATCTGCCATATGGCCATATCTTATATCTTAACCACATTAAAAACAGAATTAAACATTTGCATATCCCTGGTTCATGTTTACTTCTTATAGTGCCACAGAGAAAAAAAACTATTTTAGGAAGAGGGGAACACAAAGTAAAGAGCAGGAAAACATGAGAGCATATCAATCTATTCATGTATATGCATACAAGGATTCCCGAGAACAACCTTTTCCAATATACAAATTGCTTCTTTTGTTGCACTTTTTTCCCTCTCTGATGAAAAGAAAGAAAAAATTCATACATCCATTATATGTTACAGTGGTGACACACAGTGCAATTAACTCAACTAAAAGTTTCAGTTTCTATCATTGTATGGGTATAGACTACACTGTAACTTTCAATCCATTAACATTTAACAGAGAAAGAAGATGATAAACATTTAAGTTTCAATAGGGAAACAGGGTATGCCAGCATTATCTGTGGACTGTGGAGGAGTTAACAACTAGGTGTTTGTGCAAGGTGCAGCATGGAAAGCAAATTGCTAGTTTGGAGCAAGGGAGAGTAATCACAAGAATACAACATGAAGTACCATGTCTGATCAAGGGGGTCGTGGGCAAGTGAGCTTTTGATGTGTGATCCATGAAAAGTAGATGCCCACCCATAATGAAGGAAAACCAACCAGGCTACCAAAGGAGGTTTTGGGTTCACCTAATAGGGGTTTTTCATGTTTTCTTCACATCCGTCCTATTTTTGTTTTTTTTTTTGTAAATCTAGAGACGGAAAAAGGAATGAGTCTGATGGGGCTCCATCCAAGTTTAACAGCCTGGAGAGCGGCACAACCGCACAAATCTCCACCGAACTACACAATGAACCCAACTTGCCAAGGCCTAAGGTTAGAGGCTGTATTGTATATTGTGATGCTCTTAACCCATCAAGAAGTTCACTACCACCATATGGACATCCCTGGGGATATAAGTTCACCATGTTCTATGCATAAGAATTAAGAACAGACCACACGTTATAGAAAAAAGTGAAGCATGAAGTGTGTCATCTACAGCAACAAGAACAGCTCAGCAATCAGAGATATAGTGCTGTATATCCAATTCATCATACATGCATCTGTTTCAATGTGTGTGTGTCATTGTGTTTGTTTACATACACACATATATATAAACATATATACATGCGTATGTGCATAATAAGTGGTAAAAAACATGCATACACACACAGACACATACATACATACATACATACATACATACATATATTCACCAAAAATACCACATATATGACACAACCCCGTAACACATAATCTGAATTTCTGAATAATACACTGCTTAATTTGGTTTCAGGTGATGAGAGAGCACTGACTGAGGGGGCAGGTGATGAGAAAGCCACAGTGAGAGTGACGAAGGATAGAAGAGGGAGCGTTGTAGTCGAAGCGAGGTATGCTGATCACAGTAGAATGCTGCTCCCATGGCTTCATTCCAAGTTCTCCGTCGTCATTTTCTAACCCTGTTGTTGCATTTCCAGATTTCTCCTCGTGGTCTTCTGTCATGTCTGAACTTTCGGAGTTCAAACACTGCAGAGCGGTTTCTCCTTCCTCGGCCTTTGGCTAGACTAAACAAATTTAATCACGCCAAATCGGATAAGACTAAGGGCAAATTATATGGTACATCCGGCTGTACCATAGCATGGTACAGCCGGCATTTTGGTAATTAATTCCAGTTTGAAGGGTATTTGTTAAGTTGGTTTCTACTATTGCCTTTAATTTTTTCCGCCGCGCCGTCGCATGACTCTCCCCGTCTGTTGCCTTTAATTTCAGCTTTTCTCTTTTGTTGTTTTTTCTTTTCTCTGTTTCCTTGCTTTTCTGCTCGTTACTTATCTCTTTCTTTTGTCTTTTCTTTTCTTTTGTCTTTTCGTTTCTTCTAATCTTGCTTTTATTTGTTTCCTTCGTTCTTTCTTCGGTAACAATTCTTTACTTTAGTGTTTGTTCAATTATAATATATTTTTTTATTTTGGTGTTTTTTTCGTATTATCCTGAGATGAATATTTATTAGTATTTATTGTGTGTTGTTACTGATACTCCGTATGAATTTTGTGCTATATTAAAATGTGTATAGTGTAAAATAAATGTGAACGAGTAAATATTATAAAAACAAAACGATTATATTTGTAATTCAAGAACAAAAGACTATAAATCATTTTTAGTGAAACATTTTTATATTTCACATTGTTATATATAATAATAGTTTATTAAATTGTTAATAATGAATCTACTAGATGTACAAATTATAGAAAGAAGTTTATGTTATCTTCGAATGAGTATAACGATTAAAAGAAATAGACATACACAAATGAATATTTGAACACATTAGAGATTTCAATTGAACTTTTGAATTTTTTCGATGCTCGTTTTGTAAGTTATGAATGCTCATCTGGTATTGGTTAAATGCTCATTTGTAAGTTACGTATGCTCATCATTTGGTATTGGTTAAATGCTCATTTTAAAATGTCATATCAATGCATATTTCAAGTCATATTAGAGATCATGATACTCAATTAAAACGTTTTGATGCTCGCTCAACTAAAAAAACTTATGATTGTCATACTAATGCTCATTTTATAATTTATGAATGCTCAATCGGTACTCAATTGCACGCTTCTAATACTCAATAGAGGAGGTTTGATGTCCAATGAAAAATGTCTTCATGCTCAACTAACAAAGCTTATTATTTTCATATTAATGCTTATTTTGTAAGTTACATATGCTAATTAAAAGTTCATTAATTCTCATTTAACAGAAAGCGTTATTTTTATCTCAATATAGGAGGTTTGATGCTTAATGAAAATATCGTGACGTCCAACTAACAAACCTCATGATTTTCATATATATGCTCATTTTGTAAGTTACATATGCTCAATTGGTACTCATGTTATGCTCATTTTTAAAATGTCATAACAATGCATATTTCAAAAGTACCATATTATATTCGATTCACATATTGAAATTCATATGAATTGATTATAGTTATAATTTAATGAGTTTTTATAAAAGAAAAAAAAAAGAAAAAAGAAAGTGAATTACAATATATGAAATTGATATCACATTACTCATTATTCGACTCATAATACTCAATAGAATACATCTGATGCTCATTAACAGGCGATTTGAACTCAATAAAAACGTCTTGATGCTCAATCGGTACTCAATTGCACGCTTTTAATACTCAGTAGAGGAGGTTTAATGCTCAATGAAAAATGTTCGTATGTTCAACATAGTAATGCTTATTTTTTAAGCTACATATGCTCAATCGATACTGATATTATGCTCATTTTTTATGAAGCACAGATCACGATTTTGAATATTAGACTTCTAATACTCAATATATATATATATATATATATATATATATATATATATATATATATATATATATTAATAATACTCAATATAATAGGTCTGATGCTCATTAAAAGTTCATTAATGCTCATTCAGCAGAAACCGTGAATTTCATCTCAATAACGAAGGTTTGATGCTCAATTAAAATGTTGTGATGTTCAACTAACAAAACAACTAAAAAATTCATTAATACTCATTTTGTATGTTACGTATGCTCATCAGGTACTGATGTTATGCTCATTTTGTAAATGTCATATCAATGCATTTTTAAAAGTACTATTCTAAATTACATTCACATAATGGAATTCATAGGAGTTGATTATAAAGATAATGTAATAAGTTTTTATAAAAGAAAAAATAACAAAAAAAAAAAGTGAATTAGAAGTTATGAAGCAGAGATCATGATTCTGAATATTGGACTCCTAATTCTCAATTTAAAAGGTTTGATGCTCATTAAAAGTTTATTATTACTCATTTGTTACTAATGTAATGCTCATTTTTACAATTCATATCAATGCATATTTCAAAAGTATCAATAGTGGAGGTTGAAAAATCAATTAAAATGTCATGATGTTCAACTAACAAATGTTACGATTTTCATATCAATGTGCACTTTGTAAGTTATGTATGTTCATTTGGTACTCATGTTATGCTCATTTTTACAATGTCATATAAATGTAATTTTCCTTTTATAAAAACTTATTAAATTATATTTCTAATCAACTCCTATTAATTTCAATATGTGAACCTAATGTAAAATAGTACTTTAAAGAAAATATGTTGATATGACATTTAGAAAATAAGCATAAGATCAGTACCAGATGAGCATGTACATCTTACAAAATGTTCCTAGATATGAAAATCGCAAAGTTTGTTACTTTGAATAACAACATATTCATTGAGCATCAAATATCATATATTGAGATGAAAATCACTGTTTCTGTTAAATGAGCATTATTAAACTTTTAATGTGCATCAGACCTATTATGAGCATTAAAACAATTTTGATGAGCATCACGCTTATTAGGAACCTAACACTATATAAAAAAAATTATAAATATATTTATATAAATTAATACTATCATTCATAGATCAAATAAATACTTCAAAAGTATGAATTACTCTTTTAATGTAGTAATAATGAGAAAAGGCAAAAGAATAGTTAATATTATAATTACTATTAATAATACGCAGTATGAAACTATATAGGATAAGTAAGATAAACGAACTGAATATTACAACAAGACGACTTGGTGAGATGGTTGGAAGATAGCATATGCTACTACTGGTCACAGGATCGAATCCCATTGGGGTTCTTAATTTTTTTGTGAAGGAATCCAGTTCCTTACTACCAGTCAAATTCATTAATTGGACCGGATGTACGTACATCCGGGTGTACCATATAGGGACTCTAAGACTAAGGGTGTTTGGATTAGGCCTGGGATCGGTTCGGTTCTTGTTAAAATTCGATGGAACCGTATAAAAATTGTAGGGTTTAAATTCGGTTCGGTTCTAGTTAAAAAATGGTTGTTAAATTCGGTTCGGTTCTACTTAAATTCGGTTCGGTTCTTACCTTTTTTCGGTTCCTTATAAAATTTTACTATCCTCCTGAAATGAACACATTTTACCTTCAGTTAAATAAAAAAATTCAAACTTTAAATCATTAAATTATGACCATTACATTATACGTGCATGATATCTCAATGTTCAAATTAAAAAAAAATATATCCAAGTGCAACATTAAATTTCAACATAACAAAAATCTCGGTTTAAAATAGGCATCAACAGTCGAGCAAAAAGGTTTGATATCTCCAAAGTACACATTTAATAGCTGGTAGTTCAACTTCAAAATAATATTCTTCTACTAGTAATGCACAATAGGTAAAATGTACGTAGTAATAAACAACGTAATCAATAGAATATTAATTCCTTTTTCAGATGAACTCCAATACATTTACATTTACAAACAAAAAATAAATATAAAAGTGGACTAAAGTATTCAAATAATTACTTGGATTGGTCTGGTCCACAATATATAAGGTATATTATGCAAGAAAATATTCTTGACAAATAATTACTCGGATTGGCCAGGAACGCCGTCTGGCCATCTCCATTTGAGGTTCTTCCGTGTAGAATTTTTTGATAAAATTTTGTGAGTATGTTCTACATGAAATATAGATGATATATACCAAATTTCAGCTTAACATTCAATCGGGAAGTGAATTAAATAAAATATTGAAAAACATTGCGTTTTTATATATGTTGGCGTACTGTTTTTCAATAATTTATTTAACTGACTTCCCGATTACATTTTAAGCTCAAATTTGGTGGACATAATCTTTATTTCATGAAAAACATTCTCACCAAATTTCATCAAAAAATTCCACTCAGAAGCACCTCAAATGAAGATTACTCATACAATGTATAAGAAGTTCGGTTCCTGGCTAGGAACCGGAACCGAACTGGAACCGAACCGGAACCGAACCGATGAAATACTATAGGAACCGAACCGAAAAAGCTCAAGTCCAAAACTCTAGGAACCGAACCGAACCGGAAATTTCGGTTCGGATCGGTTTTCCGGTTTTACGGTTCCAAGTCCCACCCCTAGTTTGGATATTCTTATTCAGCTTCCTGAAAGAGCAGAATCAGAAGCTTGAATGTTTGGTTGAAAGCGCAGAAGTGATTCTGGTGCTCTAATTTATTCCTAGAATCAGTTTTTTTAGAATCTGGGGGTGACCAACTTCTGAAAACTGATTCTGATTCTGCTTCTTTTTTAAAAAAGAAGCAAAATCGGAATCAGTTCCAAACACCCCCTAACACATGATCAGATTAGATTTTAATATTTAAAAAATATAAGTAGATCAGATTTTAGCAGACCAGATCAAATCTGTTCTGATCAAACCAAAACAGACTTAAACAAATTAGATCAGAAAATTTCAATTAAATTAAAAACATCCTAACTTTGTTCCTGGAGAGTTGGGCCCACACCATCCGGCAGAGAACAAGCACGGAAATGTTTTTACCCGCACAAAAGGTCGAATGACAAAAATACGAATGAAAATGTCTAATTTCGGAACAAAAACAATACCATATTTTTATTTTCTAAACAAGAGTAGTTACTATTTCAAAAATAGCGTGAACCATCACATGTCTCCCTCAAGTGGGGTGTGAGTTTGTAGCCACCGATTCCTTGGAGTGCGAATTCCTTGGAGTTTCG